CTACTAGCATGGTCAGTGATTCTAGAAACAACCAATCTGCCCAATTCTGGGATATCTTTGTTATCGGCTTCAACACACAAATCCTTCAATACATTGAACGGTAGATCATCACTTAATACACCAGTGTATAAAAAGTAAATTAATGATTTAAAACATTGATAGGTTACATCGTCGATACGAATTGTATTTGCCTTAGACTCGGCCCATTCACCATTAAACATCTTATTAAAATAATTTGAACGTATAGACAACGCCAATCTTGAAGCTTTAATTTCAGATTCATCGCTAAAACTAAAAGTCACATCACTAAAATTATTATTATTGAAATAAGATTCCAAGGAAGGTTGAAACTTGTTAGCATTACTACCAATGCTGTTAAAAAAGTTACTAATGATGTCGTTGTTGCTCGATTGTAAATTATCCTCGAGATATAATTTTGTTCTAATCATGACATCAACTTCGATAGTTGTGTCATTGTTTGGAAATAGACTTGTTAACTCGCAGAATTTAGCTTTCCCTCCACTGTCACCTTTCTGATCAAGGTTAAAACTTTTCTTGAAAATTGATTGACTAATATCTATAGGTTTCAATTCAGCTTTGAATGTGGCTGGATTAGTTTGAACTTTGAACAATTCAAATACATATTTAATAGTTCTCAATTGAATTCCATGATTTTTTTCATAATCAGTTTGGAACGCGTAAAGAAATAATGAAAAATGTTGCTCAGTCTTATATCCATGTGGAAACATACACATTCTCCAAGCACATCCATTATTACTACCGGTAAAAGAAGAGGAATTGGTTGCATTAATATTTGTAAGATTATCATTAGAAGCATTATTAGGTACATCCAACACCATCATGTTACTATCATTATCATTATTATTATTAGTGATATTAACAGTTGTTGGGGATGAACTTGGTGAATAGAAAGCATCACTCCAAACAGTTTGACAATGTGTTGGATTTCTATAGAAATGTTGAAAATCCTTGATGTACCAATTAAAGGTTGTAGACAATTTACAATTATCCAATGCACTGTTATTATTTATATTGTTAGGTTGTGCTGTAGAAGGCGGAAGAACCGTAGTAATTGACTGTTGTAATTGTTGTTGTAGTAAAGTTTGTTGTGGTGCTATAGGTGTTAATTTATCCAAAGTTCTTGTTGATTGAGGTGAAAATGCCATTATTAATTTCTGTTCTGAAGAAAAAGTTTGTTGTATATGACGTGTAAGTTAGCTATTAAAAAAAAAATTCTTTAAAAAAAAAAAAAAGGAGTTTAAAAAAAAACGCGTTTTCTCCTGAATACCAATAGTTTGTAAATCTTTGCCTAAAATGAAAAAGCCATTTTTTGTTCCAAAGCACTTTTATGTCTGCTACTTACTATATGTTAGACGAACAAGCTATGGCAGAAATATGTAACGTATGTCGTTGGCGTATAATAACAATAAGCTTTATCGTTTGCATATATAAAATGAATTCATTCATAACGAACGAAAATAAAAGTTCTCCTCCCTTGCAATAACATCAGTAATATTAAGTAAGGGCCTTCCAAAAAGTCTAATAACATCATTAGAAATCATTTCAAACAAATTTACTTTTAAATTAATTAAAATATATATATAAAATTATAATATCTAAAAAAATTAATTAATTATTATTCTAAATCACATTTCTCATTATTGGATATATATAATGATTTTCACTAATTATAATATATATTTTAGTAGTCGAGACCAGATGACTCGAGCTGTATGAATGAAAATTTATTGATGACATGTGTAATTATTTAATTATTTATTGTAAATAAATAAAAAGAAAGAACAAAGAGTAGCTAATCAAATTTTGCATAATCAACCACAAAAACGATAGCTTCAACAGCTTCTAAAGCTTTCGAAGCCATTCAAGGAAAAACTTTGGTAATGACAGACAAACTAAAAATCATGCAGCTAAAACAGGAAAGAAACAGCCACGCAACTCATTCTAGATATTATTCATAAAAAATCTTGTTTGGGAAAATTTTAGTTGGTTTACATGTGGAGTAGTAACTGCAGCTTTTAACAATTCCATTGACATTTAACATTATTACAACAAATATCATTCTAATGGCACAGAATCTTTTTTGATTCGAAGGATTTTTTTTATTGGTATTGGATTATTTTTCTTTGTTCCGGTAATGCTTGCAATGACTTTTTACATCAATTGTTGCTTCATTCTTTACAAAAATTTTAATTATAATTGGAAGAGAAGATATCTACAGATACTCGATACATTATTTCCAAGACTGGAGAAATTTTAGGTGAAAGGAAACGTGGTGGAGGTATAGGTGGAGATGATGAAACTGGTGAGATGGAGAAGGTGATGATGTTGTTTATGAATGAGGTGGAGTTATGGTTGCTTGCCAAAACTTCTTCGTAAATCAATCGGCAGTGTTTCGACATGTTACACGCTAATTGTTTATTAGAGTTTCGGCAGAATTTCGCATTTGGGGTTTTGACAATTGGCAACCTTGGATGGAGTGAATGGATGATGATGATGATGATGATGATGATGATGAAAGTATAAATTTTTGTTTTAGTGGTTTCAGTTTTAATTTCTTTACAAAGTGTGCATTGTTTAGTTTTTTGGCATTTTGAAGAGAGGAGTGATTCAACGTGGAAAACGGTTTTACAAAGAGATATATAGTAATAGTATATACACGCACTCCTTCCAAATTGGGTGAAAATTTTCTATTGATTATATACTGGCGATTGTGCAACATACCGAATTTTGCAATAGATGATATTTTCAATGATCTTCTGATGTGATATTTGTCATTCATCATAAATTCTTCTGCATATTTGATTACCTCATCTTTTTTTGATTGTCCCACTGTAAATAATAATTATAATAATTTATAAATTGAATTGGAATTCTGAGAAAAAAAAAATTTTTTTTCAAAAAAAAAAAAAACAATATTTATCACATCAAAACCAATTAAATAAAATAAAAAAACAAAATGACACAAAGAATCCAACAAATAACTAACCATCTCATCGGACCTAGCAGTAATTCAATTCTTCCAAAGGTCGGTAAAAAATCACCAGAGGATGTAGTAGTGGTAACAGCAGTTCGCACAGCACTTACCAAAGCTAAAAAAGGTGGCTTCAAAGATGCATTTCCTGAAGAATTGCTTGCCGCAGTTTTTAAGGCGGTGCTTGATAAATCAAAAATTGATCCCAATTTGATTCAAGATGTGGCGGTTGGTAATGTTTTACCACCCGGTGGTGGAGCTACAGTTGCAAGGGCTGCAGCTTTGTATGCCGGTATTCCAGAAAGTGCTGCCTTGAACACCGTTAACAGACAATGTTCTTCTGGTTTACAAGCAATTGTTCAAATTGTTCATGAGATTGCACTTGATCAAATTGAAATCGGAATAGGTGATATATATATATATATTATACATAATATTACACATGTATTATTTATACGATAATATTATTATTTGTTGTTAATTAATTTATATCCTTGTTTGTTTTAAAGGCGCCGGTGTTGAAAGTATGTCACTTCATTATGGAGCAGGAGCAATGGCAACAGATACTTCAGAAAAGGTATTTTCAAATCCAGCATCACAAGATTGTTTACTTCCGATGGGAGCAACTTCAGAAAATGTAGCAGAACAATTTGGAATTTCGAGAACCAAACAAGATCAATTTGCTGTTGTGTCTCATCAAAAAGCAGCAGCAGCACAAGAAGCCGGTCTCTTTAAAGAAGAAATAATTCCTGTAAGAACCAAATGGATTGATCCCAAGACAGGGGAAGAGAAAGAAATAGTTGTTGACAAAGATGATGGAATTCGTAAGAACACAACGTTGGAAGGATTAGCTAAATTGAAACCAGTATTCAAAGATAATGGTACTACTACAGCAGCTACTTCCTCACAAGTTTCTGACGGAGCAGCAGCAGTTTTGTTGATGAAACGTAAGACAGCTGAAAAACTTGGATTACCAATTATTGGTAAATTTATTAGAGCATCAGTTGTTGGAGTTCCACCAAGAGTTATGGGAATAGGGCCTGCTTATGCAATTCCAGCTGTCCTTAAACTAGCAGGACTTTCAATTAATGATATTGATATTTATGAAATAAATGAAGCTTTTGCTTCTCAAGCAATATATTCTATTGAGAAATTAGGAATCGATTTCAAAAAAGTTAATCCAAAGGTAATTGATTAATTTATTGGAGGGGGGGTTTTTTTTTTGAGGAATAAAATAATCTAATAATTTTTTTAATTTATATTTAAATAATTAATTAATTCAAAGGGAGGAGCAATTGCAATTGGTAGGCTATTAATTTGCATGATCATAATTAATTTATATTATTATTATTATAATACTATATAATTTATTAATTCTTATATATATATGTGTGTGTATGTGATTAATAGGACATCCTCTGGGCTGTACTGGCGCACGTCAAGTATCAACACTCTTGACAGAGTTAAGAAGAACAAAGAAGAAATTAGGAGTTATTTCCATGTGTATTGGAACAGGAATGGGAATGGCTGCTGTTTTTGAAGCAGAATTTTAAAGTTATTAATAATATTGATTAATTAATCAGTTAATAATAGTCATTTGGTAATTTATAATATTATTTTTTCAAACAACTAACACATTGTTATTTAAAAGTTGGTATTTGTTTTTCAATGTAATGACATTTATTTATATTATATATTAAATTTAAAAAAATTTAAATTTAAAAATTTAAAACAGAAATGTATACTATAATATAATTGTCATTTGTAAAATTGTAAAAAATTGATTTTTCCAAGATAAAAAATAAAATTCCTAAAATTTAAAATCCAAATGCAACATGTCCATTTAAACAAGCGATTTCTTGATCTTCAGCATTGTAAGCATTGACATACATGTTGTAACTTCCCTATTTATAAATTATAAATAATATATAATTAATTAATTAATAAATCTCTGTACAAAGCTCCGTGTAGCTAGCCGGTTTATAACTTAATAAGCTCGCAAGCTGATACTTACGGGGAAAACATTCCCAGGTATTTCAACCGATTTGTCAACTGTATGATTTCCTTTTTCAATCGGACAATTTTCATCAACTTCGGGAGCTTTTTCACATAAATCAAGCCGGATTTCATAAATCTTCATTATTCCATATTTAATCACCACATTAATATAACTACCTTCAGTAACGGTTTCTTTGAAATATCCAGTGCCTTGAACACGTAATTCTTGACCTTTTTTTGGTGGATCAGGTGTTAATTCTATGTGGTGGATTAGCAAGATATCCTCTGGTTGACTACAAATTGATATAGTATCATATAGCGCCTTTACTGGAAATTCAATGCTGAGAACTTCTTCAATTGTTTCTTTGAGCGAGTCCACTTCTTCTTTAATCCTATTCGAATTTACTATTGAAGCAAATAATAACAATATAAAAGAAGAGAGTACAACAACTACAAACAAATTATTTTTATTATGCATCATTACTATTACTGACTGTTATGTTTTCGTCTCTGTAACTTTTATATTCGCAAAGTTACACATAATGGCTATTACAGAAAAACGGCGGTCATATTTACATCATCTTTTATATAAATAGTAATAGAATAATTAATAATAACAATAACGCCAATTTGAAATTTCACGGTCATGTATTTCTTGAAGATCGTCAACCAACGAAACAATAAAATTATGAATTAAATTGTTACTTTATTTTTAATTGAAATTAAAATGCACAAAGAAAATAATTGGGATGCGAAACGTCCTAGCATCCATTTGCGTAATAATGTAATTTTTAATAAAATAGACTATTTCGTAGTCTAATAAATAGACAACATATTATTCATCAAAATTTGCTGCGCCAGATCTATGAATTTAACGAGCTTTGACTGTAATTAATATTTCAATCAGTGGATAATAAATATAAACGAATAATATAATTTTTATTAAAATCTAATTTACAAAATTAATAAATAAAAAATCTAAAATTAAAAATCTAAAATCTATAATATAAATAAAATAAATAAATAAATAAATAAAATTTTATCAAAACGTCTTTATTACATCATCAAATAATTCATCAAGATCCTAATATAGGTAAAAATATATTTACGTGAGTTAAAATATTAAATAGTACAAAATAAAATAAAATTAAATAAATTACTAACTAACCTGTTCTATTTTATCAAGTTGTTGATTAACGTCAGCAAAAACATCTTTAATTTCTTCTTTTATTTCAGTTGGTTTAATTTGTTCCAAAACTCTTTCAGGATCTTCATTTAAATGCCATCCACTCTTCCTACGCTCCTTCAACTCCAACATATTAACACCTGATCTCACAAGTATTAACAATTCTTTCAAACCAATATCATTCGACAACACCAAATCAATTTCAGAAATTGATAATACAGACGATGATGATGATGGCATTTGATGATGTTTGCTAATTTTTTTGCAGATCGTTGGTTGATGATGAATTGATTGAATTAACTGATGAATTGGAAGAGGACCTACTTCTTGTTTTTGTTTGTTGGAATGGTTGTGCTTTATTGGGTTTGTACACTAAATCACCTACTGTATCTTGATTTTCAGATTCTATGCTTGTTGTTGAATTGAGTTGGGTAAAGTTTGAATTTGGATTTGGATTTGGATTTAGATTTGAAGTTGGATTTGGATTTGGATTTGGATTTGGATTTGAATTTGAATTTGAAGTTGGATTTGAAGTTGGATTTGAAGTTGGATTTGAATTTGAAGTTGAGTTTATGTTCGATTTACTCAACCTATATGATGGATTTAGTTTCACTTTTTCAATTACACGACCAATCTTGTCTAATGATTGACTTGACTCTTCATCACCATCATTATTTTGAGCCCGGTCAACAATCTTTACCAAAATATCTACATCTTGGGTGGTACTCTTTCTATAAAGTTTCTTTTTGTTAAGAGTTGACGATGAATTTGGGTCTTCTTGTTGATTTTGTTGTTGTTCTTTTGTTGAATTCTCATCAGTTTCATCCTCTACCACAAGCTCATCATCGTCACCCAAAATATCTTCGATAATATCACTGATATCAATCTCTTCACCATCAGTCGAAATAAATGAATAGCGTACTTTCGACCCACCAAAAATCCTTGAACTTCTAATTGACCCATCATTTGTAACAATATCAACACCGTGTTCTGCATTTTTATGGGCTGATACAATAGACTTTTGCTTGGCTCTACTATATTCACGTTGCTTCTCAATAAGTTGTTTTCTTTTTAGTAGTTCATCATCATCATTGTTATTGTTATAACTGTTCAAAGTTTGTTGCTGTTGTTGTTCATGATTTGACTTTTTCATTTGTTTTCCCGATGATGATTTTTGCATGTATTTTTTTGGATCAGCGATATCTGGCATTGCACGATTTCTATGATCCTCAGGTTTTAACAGACGTAGAACAAATACGGGTTCATCTGGAAGATAATCTAATGCAAGTGAAGAATTGGAATCTAAGGAATCAATTGATAAATGCCTAAGATTTGGTAGCGTTGGATATGCAGATAGGATTCCTGATTTAGGATGTAATAATTTTTCTATTTATAAAATAAAAATATAACACAACATTTAATTTATAATAATAACATTTGCATTCGTTAAAAATAGTCAAATATCAAAGGTACTCATACATACCATTTCCTTCCATGTTAAGCATTAGTCTATAACGTGGTATTTCATCATCATTGCTTTCTATATGTTCACCATCATCAATAATACCATCAACTATACCAAATTTCTCCATTGACTTCAATATAACATCACCAACAGTTGCCAAACCATTAACAATCAAATGTTTTTCCTTTGGCTTTCCTTCCTCACGCGAACGTCTCCTAGCTGATTTTTCAGCGATATGTTTTGGTACTGACATGGATGTTCTTGGTATTGGTGCTGAAGAACTTTTTGTACGTAGGTGGGCTGGCAAATCATCCGCATATATTATAACATGTAAACGTAATTTCTTATCACTAATGGATGATCTAATATTTTTAACAAGTTTTTTATTTAGGTAGAATGTGACTGCAGCAGCCTTTTCATTATTATTCGATTCAATATTTTTTACCATCGGATGATTTGATATGTTGGAAAATGTTGAAGATACTGATGCTACTGAGCTTCTGTTTATGGATGGTAATATAACTGTTGAATGTGAATTTAATGATTGGAATACCTCAAGAGGATGATCATGTGGCATCAAATATGTTTCCTCTAAAATCATATATATATTAGCAGGGAAAAGAGATCATAAATAATAAATCTTAAAAAAAAAAAAACACAAGAATTACAAACCTCCATCAATTCGTTTTATTGTAATGTAATAATCATCCAAATTATTTTCATTGTCAATTTTAAATCGATTTAATGCTTGTTTAATAAGGCTAGTGGTGGTAGTTGTTTGATTGATTAGAACAATCTTGAATGTAAAATTAGATTTCAGATTTTGACCAGAGAAAATACGAATAATACTATAGGTAGGAGAAAGCGGTGGTGATATTTGTGCGGGGGGATTTTTGTATTGTGAGCTTTGCATTGATTGTGTAGACGATAATGGTTGTGGTTGTGATTGTGGTTGTGGTTGTTGTTGTGGTTGTGATTGTTGTTGTTGATTTGGTGGTGGTGGTGGTGGTAGCTGTTTTTCTGCAGAAGGATTTCCATTTTGTGAATTTTGTATTGATTGTGTAGATGACAATAGTTGTGGTTGTGGTTGTTGTTGTTGTTGTGGTTGTTGTTGTTGTTGTTGTTGTTGTTGTTGTTGTTGTTGTTGTTGTTGTTGTTGCTGTTGCTGTATTGGTGGTGGTAGAACATGATTTGAATAATTAGGCTGTAGTTGTTGGTATTGCGTTTGAATGTCAGGAGGTCTTTGGGAATCGCCAAGTGACATGTAATTATTTTGTTGACCTTGTGGATATACACCAGGTTGTTGAAATAATTGTTGTTGCTGCTGCTGCTGTTGAGATATTTGAAAACCTTGTTGTGGATTCATTTGTATTCCCTGCTGTTGCTGCATTTGTAAATGAGTTGGTGGTTGTTGTTGCATTAGGTATTGGCCTTGATTTATTGTTGGTGGTATATAATTAGGCCTGACATTATTATTCATAGGATTCATAGGATTGTTGAGATCAGGGATGTAGTTGTTATAATTGTTTGTTGGATTATATGGTGCTGGTGGGATTGTTTCTAATTTAAGATTTTCATCATCTTTTTTCTTTGAAGAGATTTTTTTAAGTAAATTCTTGAATAACCCTGCAGGTTTTTCTTTTTCTTTTTTAAGTGCCTTCTTCTCCTCTTGAACTTTTAAGGCCATTGTTTTATTATATTCTTCGAGAGCATCTTTATTACTTAAAATTTTATTATTGCCACTATCATTAACATTAACATTACTATTATTATGATTCACCCTTTCCTTATCATCATCATCAGAAAAGTCCATGAAATCACTACCTAGAACAGGTGTAAGGCTCACTTTTATTGTCTGGCTTGGTTCGTTAAAGATATCAGGAAGTGGCGGAGAATTATTATTGTTGGGATTGATTTGATCGACAGGAGGAATAATACCAGTAGGTTTTCTTTGTGGTGTTTTATGCTCTGATACCATTTGAGATATATTGTTAAGATCAAAGCTACCATTATCGCCTTGATTATTTTGTAGAGTGTATTGCTGATTATTATTTTGTTGATTGTATGGTTGATTAATATCATTATTATTGTTATTGTTATTATATGGTGGATCAACATATTGTTGGTTATTTATATTATTGTATGGTTGACTATTATACTGCTGTTCATATGGTTGTTCCACTTGTTGATTAGTATTAGAAACGGAATCCAATTGAGTTTGTTCTGGATTTGATGTGTGGTTCATTGATTTATCTGTTATTACTTGTTCATTAATATTAATATTATTAATATTATTGTTGTTGTTGTTATTGTTATTATTATTATTATAATTATTATTATTATTATAATTATTATTATTATTATTATTATAATTATTATTATTATTATTATTATTATTATTATTATTATTATTATTATTATCATTATTATCATTATTGACATCATTTCCTATTCCCATTATTGGAGAATCTGTAGTAATTACATCATTATTTATAGATACAAAATTATTTGGTGTTGAATAATTTATGATATTCTCGATAGGACTATTTGAAAGGTTTTCATCCTCTGTTACTAATTCCTTTTCGTTTTCCTCTTTCTCTTCCATATCTAGTACTTTTTTATTTTTTATTTGAACATCAACATTAAAATTATCATCTATTACTGATTTTTGTACATTTTCAACTACAACTTTAGATTCTTCATTTCCATCCTCTTCTTCCTCCTCTTCTTCCTCTTCATGTTCACCATCATTCTTATTATTTTCATCCTTGACTTCTTCATCTTCATCTTCATCTTCATCCTCATCTTCATCCTCATCCTCATTATTTTTATCGTCATCTTCTTCTTCCTCTTCACCTTCCTCATAGTCATCATCTTCATAAATAGCATCAGCAACCATATATAATGGTGAAGTAAAAGTAACAGCTTTTTTTTTAGTCTGATTTTTTCTTTTTGATATATTAGCTAGTATATCATCTATTCTATTATTTTGGGAAGATGATATCTTTTAAAAAATAAAAATATTTATTTAGTTATTCAATTGGTATATTAATTTTTTACAAAAAGGAGTTTAGTTGTTTTTACTCACATCAATATTTTTATGCTTATTCATTCTTGCCAGTCTTTCATATGGTGTCTAATTTAATTAATTTATACAGCTATGATTAGAATTGTAATAAACAATAAATATTCATAATTATATAGTATAATGAATACCTCAATGTTTTCAGCAGGTATATAACCAACTTCTTCACTTTTCAACACTTTAACTAACCACCAATAACTATTAGTATCATCTAACAAAGTTAAATGATCGCCTCTATCTACACTTGCCTGTCCATCGACGGTAGCTTGAAAAGTGTGAAATGCATAAACTAAATCAAAATCAATATCTTCATCAATGATTGAAGATGCCGAGGAATCGTTATCATCCTCTTCCTTCTCGGCATCATCCTCATTGGTGTTATTATTGTCATTTTTGTTATTATTGGTTGCAGCAGTGGTATCATTTTCCTCTCCTTTATCTTCTCTGTTGTCATGATCGTTTGTTTGAGTATTATTGTTGTTGTTAGTACCATTATTGGCATTTTTTATTTTTATTCCACGAGCAGCTGCGTCTGTGTCAATTGTGAGATTATGTTGTCGATTCATTTTTTTTTTTACAATTATTCTTGTAAATGGCTGTCTTTATTATATGTAACATTTAATTAGAACAAAAATCAAAAAAAAATTTATGTATTTATAATATTATTTTTTATTTTTTGGATTATCAAACAAGTAAATAAATTGAAAATTTCCTTTTAAAGTTTTTAGTCTAACATAAAAATCTAACAATCGTTAACTTATTTGGTTGGTGTCTATAATATTTAATATTAATCGTACATACATATTTTATTATTATTTATTAGTGCGAGATTAAATTTTGAAAACCTTTAGAGGTGTTGACTATTCATTTATACATAAAGAAGGATAATGCGTTAATAAAAATTAAAGAATTAATTTTTTAAATTCTACAAAATTAATGCCATACATACGATTAGTGATTGTTGTATCAATTGACGAATCACCAAGCACCTCCAATGTATTAACATCATCTTTCTTGTATATGTTTAAGTTATTAATTACAACATATTGTCCAATATTATCTTCACTAACATTACTTGCAATATCTCCGATAAATGTTATATTTACTTGTCCTATATAATATAATAATTTATTTGTATTAATGACATAAATATATTATCACATAACCTTAGTAACAATAATACCAACCAGTATCATCACTCAATTTAAATACGCATCTATCAATTGTTTGATCATCCGTCAAGTAAAGAGGTGACTAAACAAATATATCTTTATTAATTAATATTAATTTCCACATTTAAAAAAATAAATGAATTACATACATTATCTAATATTTCTTCAATTTTGCCAAAAAGTGTTATGTTTAATCCTAGTGGTAAATCGCCAATGTAAATTCTTTTTGGATAAAATTCGTAATTGATTATATTCTATTATTGTTATTGTTAGTATGTTTGATAAATTTAATATTTTATAAATTTAAATTAAAATTTAATCATTACTACTGATTTATCCAGATGATTGAATTTTGGTTTTGTCGTCAGATTCTTTTTTACATTTGATTGCTATATTGAGAATTATAATGATTATAATTACCATACTAATAATATTATTAATAATCAAACATAAGTATATTTCTTACTTTACAAACTTCGCTCATTGGCAGACAAAATAACATTGTGATGTTTCCATATTGGATGAATATTTCCCGATCATTTGTTTGAAATGGATCAACGTATGGCATGTTAATACCTAAATAGTCTCCCTATAAATAAATTATATATACATATATCATACATATGCTTACAAATAAATTCTTGTATGATATATGCTCATAACAATTAATTTTTGTATCACGCATATATATAAATTCACACACTTACACCTTTGAATAAACCAGCTATGTGTACTTGCTCATCAAATAATATTAATGTTGCTGTTGTTGCACCATCGACATCACAAATATGAACAAGTCTTTTGTGCGTAAATCCTACAACATTTGAAGCTTCAATCTTTCCAATATATACTACCTTTATTTTTTTAATTTTGAAGAAAATATATTATTATACTTATAATAATACAATATACTATTTCCGTACCATATTTACCTTAACCCAAAATTGATAAATTCTTGAGCCATCAATATCATTATCACAAGATATGTTAGCCAATGAATCAAAAAATAAATGTTCAATCAACTCTTCATCATGCACAGTTAACATTAAGATAATATTTGGTGTAGGTAAGAAAATTGGTTCTTGAATATTAACAATAATTGGAGCGTGGTTAAATCTAATATATCTTTTTTGCTGATTGTTATTATAGTAGATATTATGTTTAGGTTTATATATGTTGTAGGTATTTTAAACTTGTAGATATATTTGCGACATAGTTTACATTTATATCATTTCTCACCTTGTAAAAAAAATCTGGGGCATAGCTACTCTCCAAGAAGTTAATTAACCTTGAATGTGCATATAAATCAACTGTATCGGACTTGTTTACACCATCATACAATCTAAAACAATGTGTATATATATACATATATTAAATTAAAGACCATATATATATTATATATTCATGAAATAATAATAAGTTAGATTAGATTAGAAGGATATATCCATGTGCAATATTTGGATGTTTTACAATGGTCAAAACAGGTAACTCGAAACTTGAAAGCTTTGGATTTGTGTTGTAAAAAATTGCATCAAATGATGAAAACTCTAGAAAAAAATAAAAAATAAAAAATAAAAAATAAAAACTAATATTCTTCTGACGATCTTATATATGACAATGTGATTAATTCAACAATTAATTAATTTACTTTTTGGAATTTCTGGTTGGTATGCTTCGCCTATTCTTTTCCACTAAAATATATGTAATAATAAATCATATCTTTATATATATATATATAATAGGTAAATATCGAAAGTTAAATAATAAAAAAGATGCAAACCATTCTATTTAATTCACTTATGATAATATGTTTATTTAACCCATATAATGCACTTCGATCAATCAAATCTGCTGCTTTTGCACATACCCAACACCTTTAAATAAATTATCATCATCATCATCATTATAATAATAATAATAATTATAAAATATAAACAATTTAAACATAAAAAAAATTTACCAAGATATTGGGTTTATTTTAGGGTTTATTACTTCATTTGTTGTATTTTCCTTTTGATTTGAAACTTTATTATTATAACTTTTAAATATAAATTGATTCAACTCTTCACAACAATTATCCACAAAATTTAAAAAATTCATATTTATGTACAAATTTACGCGTCATTGCAAACGACAATCATTGAAATACTCGTAGAGAACCAATCAAATTTTGCGCAGCGTGGATATTAAAAATTAAACAATAAAAACATTTAGAAAATAATACTGTTATCTTTAGATTTTTCATCCAATTAATTATTGCTTTAAAATATGAAGACCTTCCTTACGTTTAAAATTGTGGAACAAACAAGTTGACAATTAATTTCCCAAGGATGTACTTTTTTATTAATATTGTGGCGCCCAAAGTTAGTCCATCCCCAATCCCTGAAATATACAGGTGGAATCATACTTGCCAGGATATCTTTATTCAAACAATGTCAGGAGGTCCTCTAGTACTCTTAAAATTTGACAAATAAAGACTTTGAGAATCAAAATTGCTCAACATAATTTAAAAGCAATATTTTTTTTATTCAGAATTTCAAATTTCAAATTTCAAATTTGATTTTGTTTTGGATTTCGAATTTTTCACTATCATGATGGACTTGGCCTTTTGAGTTTATAATTGTAGCTAAAAATTCATGATTGCTTAATTTTTTTAAAAAAATAGAATCACAACCAAGTAAAGTGAAGAAATAGTGCAATAGTAGTAGAAGCAGATGGAAAATCGTGTAGTATAGTTGGTTTAGAATTTAAAATTGTTGACATTTTTTTTTTTATAATAAATTTCCATTAAAACTGAAACTAATATTTAAAATTTTTGGAATATAGATAGGACTGTGCTAACAAAACAGGTTAGACTCAAAATCGTTATAGGTATAGTGCTAAGCTGTTTATTTGGATCAAAATCAGCATCCAATTTTAAAAGTTGAAAACAAGTTATTTTCTTAAGTGTTTCAGATGTCTAAGATTTGTAAACAGAATAGTAAATAGCTGATTTGGATAACAATGAATCATATCAAGCATATCTCAGAATTGCCTGGAGCATTCTGGAAGCTAGTACAATGATTAGACCATTGATTGAAGTTCTCTCCATTCATTATTATTTTTATTATTATTACAATATTTTGAACTTTAATTGTGATAATATTTGAGATTCATTCATGATGTATTTTTTTATACTTGCACACACATACACACATATCATCACATTTAATATAATTTACAAAACAAACAAACAAATTTGCAAAAACCATTATAGAATGTCTTGGTGAAAATCCTGACATGTGAAGGTTTACTAAAAACTTGCACAAAAAAATTTTTTTTTTTGAAGGTGATTATGAGATAATATTAAAATATATATGTATCATTACTGTTATCATTGATTGTGAAATATCAATGTTGCAATTAATTAATTATTTAATCAAATAATAACTTTCTCATATCTTATTATAATATCTTTCTCATTACTAAATCGTTCTTCTATAGATAAATATTGGATATATTCCTAGATGTGTTATTGGGTATATTCAAATTTAGCAAAGAATTGCAGAAAAACAAAACATATTGCTGTGACTTTACAAGAAATGTTTAGTCCACAATGTGTTGTTGCAGTTTTGGAAGCAAAGTAAATAATCTGATTGCTGATATATTGGTTATAAATTTAATGAATCATTACTTCTGTTTTATTTATACAGTCATTTATGTGTGATGTATAAAAACCACTGTATTGAGCAAGTGTTATGTTAGGTATTTAGAGAACAAGTTAAAACAAGAGAATAATTCCTGACTTTAATTAAAAAATACTTGAATTATTTTTTTACCTTAAATAGTAAAAGATATCGTGCTTATACTCCTCTATAATTAATGATTTAACAAGTTAATTATTTATTTCAATATATTTTCAAAATGATATATTATTTTTTTTACCTTTGTTTCATTTGCAAAATCAATGAAACTTTTTTCTTTACAGCTTCTTTGAACCGTTGTTCAGAAATTTCTCTTGTTACTCGTCTACGTTTTACAGTTGGTTTTTCATAATATCTATTCCTTCTTACCTCAAGTCTTGTTTTATTAAGAAATAGTATAGTGTTTACACGCCTATAAGATTGTAATACATTATTATTTGTTACAGGTACACTTCTACCAGCTGTTGGTTTAAGATCTCCTTCCTTTGGATTTGATAATGGGTAGGCAGGCTTATACATGATATTTGTTTGTTTTGTAAATGGTGTTGGGATTTGAGAAACAATGGAAGATTTGTATCTTAAGCAATTTATTGTATCGAAATTGTTGATGGTTTTTATTTTTGTAAAAAGATTCAATCTAAACATTATTATTATTTAAAAAAATTTTATGAAATTTGTGGTGCAAAATTTTGCCGATCATTAGTATAATTTTGTGGCGATAATAAACAACAAGCATTTGTTCCTGAAATTGCTGGGTAAGTATTGTTTATCGTAAGAATGGTGGTTATCGCCACCACTCGTCGTTACTCTAGTTATTATTAATTTTTTTTTTTAATTTAACATTAATTTATTTATTAACATTAAGTTAAGTTTGGATGGAAGGTCTGTATTCAGTTCGTTATGAAAAAACTTGTCAATCTTGACCAAAGAAATACAAATAAGGAAAAATTGTTTGCATAAAAAACTATGAATCTTTCTTATATATATGTAAAAAAAAATAAAAAAAAAAATAATAAAAATAATATTATTATCTTTATCTTTAGTTTTACAAATATATTTGAATTTTTAATTGAATTTAATTGGATAGAATTAAGAGTGA